AACTCAATGAACAAAAACATTCTAATATAGAATTTGGGTGCATTTGTGTGGTTGTATTTTTACTTATAATAATTCATAAAGTAGACAACAAAATATCTGCCTGCTAAGAGCATTCATTCTAGACGGAATGTGATTCTTACTACAACTTGTCATTTAAATTATTTTTGAATAAAATATAAATAATTATGGTCACTTCCTTATGAGTTAATTCCTCGGCGCATTTACTAACCCTCCGGGTACCAGAGGGATGTCTGTCTTCCCGAGCTGGAGTCTAACACAAGTTCAGGAAAAATAAATAATGGATGTTAATGAGCACAATGATACTTACTGAACTTTAATATGTTGTGTGATTGTATCTGTAATAGCACAACATTCGCCCAAATTTCTTTTTTTTTAAAGATTTTATTTATTTATTTGACAGAGAGAGACACAGCGAGAGCAGGAACACAAGCAGGGGGAGTGGGAGAGGGAGAAGCAGGCTTCCCGCCGAGCAGGGAGCCCGATGCGGGGCTTGATCCCAGGACGCTGGGACCATGACCTGAGCCGAAGGCAGACGCCCAACGACTTGAGCCACCCCGGTGCCCCAATATTTGTCCAAATTTCAAGTGAGTTGCTGCCTGTCAAAACTAAGGAGAGTCAATGTCAAATGTCAACATGAGAGAGTCCCGTTTATTCATTCACACAACAAATATGGCTGTAACCAACCACCAGATGCTGTCTCAGGTTCCCAGGAAAGGAACGAAGGGGCCCCCCTGCTTCGGAGACCCTGACGGAAGAGCAGGGCCAGGGCCCAGCGGGAGGGGCCGGGAGGGGCTGAATACGTCCCCACCTGTCCTCATCCTTTCCCACGATGTCCTCCACGACTGTCCTCTAAGTCGACACGTCTATTTCTCTAAATCGTAATTCTTTGTTAAATTAAACATAACTAGTTAGTAATAACATTTATGGGATCTAAAACTGCAGACGTTTTAGAAAACACAAGTATTTCACCCGACCATTTAGTTGAAGACTCACCATGTCACAGTATCCCCAGCACTTCTTCAGCGTCTAAGACAATGTGGGAGAGAAAACGGTTCTGCGGCAGAGTGGGAAGCAGCGTGGTGGGGAGGCAGCAGGTTTCGGGGGTGGCAGGGTGAGGCCTCGCAGGGCCTGGAGCAGGGCCAGCAGGGAGGCTTAGTCTTCGGTCGAGAAATAGAAGAGGGCAAACTGGCCTCCGTGCTGGCACGTGCTGGGCAGACGTGACATCGAGTGTCACTGAAAATAACCCAAAGTCTTCCATCCAGAACTACAACCTGAACAACAGTCGGGATGACCAGCCGGATGGTAACCAAAAGTCCACGCCAGTTGAAAGTGCAAATACATTTTTCCATGAAATTCTCATGCATTCTTCCTCCAAAAGCACTAGCCTTCCTTATTTCATCTCATTAAAATACCTGCAGATTCTATTTAAATAGCAAATGCTGGAATCGGAGATTCAAAACCACCTGAGGAACCCAAACGGCACATTCTCCAGGCCGTTCCCTCCGCCCTCCCACGACCACTTAGGGCCAGTGACCTGCCCCTGCCACCACCCCACTGAGACCCTGGCAAGCCCCTCCCCTTCCAGAGGCTGCCCCAGGGACAGGTAAGCTTCACCGACCTGTAGCAGAAACAGCTGCACAAGAGTTAAGGAAACTGGGATGTGAGTCTATTCCTCCTCACACAAGGACACAGACTCTCCTCCCTCCTTCCCATTCAAAAGGAGCTCGGTGTCTCAGTATGTAACTCGCTTCCTGGATGGAACATACTGTCATGCCATCACCATGGCAGCCTCTGCCGAAGCTGAACTACACTAACGTCGGAATTCAAGAAAACGCATCTGTGCTTACATGTTGGTACAGACACGCTGCTCTCGAAGGGTGCCGTTCCACACACACTGTTGGGAAACAAGGCAATTTTAACATCTGGTATTCTCAATAAATAAGCATTCCTCTAACCTGGATCTTGTGAAAGTGCTCACTAGCAAACCTCCTGATTAAACCAGGTGGTTGCCCATTTTAAAATACGTCAATCTTGCTTATGATATCATAGACCCCACCAGAAATTCCACAATTGAAATCAAAGATGAGTCAGCAAGGATAAGAAACATGGAACAAAAGCATAAAACAAAGGGACAGCCTTCCTTAGAGGTGACATGCTTAAATTATCTTGCACAGTATGATTAAGTGGTTCCATTACTAACCGCACATTCAAGGGACCTGACCTGTTCTCACCTTGCAATGGGCAAGCTCCTCACAGAGAACAGCAAGCACATTGCCAGCTCTCACTGCTTTGTGCTTCCAGCCCCTTGGACCGAGGCGATGTCATTTAGAAACCGAAAATGTGCTGTCGATAGTAATCAACAGCTGCAGCGTCTGACTGTAAGAAGCAGAATACACTCATCACATTGTCCTGGGTCTCCTCCACCACTGGACTTTAGCAGGGGACATGGGGGAGTAGGGGCTCGGGCTCACGCACTGGCTGAAGCTAGAAAGAGCAGACAACATGGAACAGCTACGGAGAAGGGCTAGGAAGCCGGCTCCAACCCTGAGTGAGACCTTCACATTTGGCCAGATTCCCATGATTCCAGCAAGTAGTCATTACAAAGAACGTGTTGCATTTTTGACTTCAGAAAACAGAGACTAGAAATATAATGGGATTAAAACAAGTCTCTTTTTTTGTCATTGTTTTTCTAATTAGAAAAACTAAGTTCCCTCCTTAACAGAAATGACTAAATAACTATGCAAATTAAATGATATTACACAGAGTTATTGATACAAAAATTAGTACTTCTGCATGGTTGTCTGGACACCAACCATTCCAGTAAAAATCAACGGCCGACCAGGTCCAAAGTATTTAAACCACGATTGCATGCTCTGAATGTTCATGTTTTTAAAGACCTCCTGTGTAAACCGGATACTTAGATTCAGTTTAAATAAATAAGAAGCTGAACCTTTTCATACACTGCAGTTCAACTGAGCACATCTTTGCTATTTAAGAATACAAAGTTATTATTCTTGCCTTACTATGCTCTCCATTATTATCCTAATATTTGGCCTCCAATCCTGACAAAAGCTTACTTGCAAGTATAATTCACACAGGCTGTATCATAGAATCGAGGCTTTTATTACAAAGAAAGCACTAAACACGTCGTGTGCAAACTGGTGAACAGAACCCATCTCCACCAGTGCACCCCATGTTTAGTGCCTTAAAGGAGTCAACACTTAACGCACTGGAGACTATTTAGTGGAGGACTTGCAGTTGATGTAATTTTTAAAACCCAAAGTCACCGCCAATAATTCATCACCTGGGTGGATTATGCAGTGTGATAAACCCCCTTCAACTCTTCCAGGACAAGTACAATGGTTCTAAGCCAACTAGGTGCAAGAATACCTCAGGAGAATGTATAATTCTAACCATGGGGGGAATCGTTTCAAAATTCAAAGCTGTAATAAGGTGGAAACCCTATCACTCCCAAGCTTCTCTATTTTCTTAAGCAGTTTACTGCCAATTACTCCAAGCACATCTTGTAGGGTTTAATTACCATCTGCAATGGCTGGAAAACTATTTATATCACAAAGTACTTTAAAAAATAAACAGAATGTTACCTGGGACTAAATTTTAAAATTTTGTGATAATATCCCAGAAATGCATAACATGATGGAAAAAGCATCTATCTCTACACAGATTATATATTTAAAAAAAAAACCATAGTTACTGCTACTCCCCTAGTTTAGAAGCATTATGACCAGTAGGAATCCGTGAAAGCCTTCTGCCCATCCTCTTTCAAAACATTTCTGTTACCCGAAGGATGGTCAATATATGCCTGTTTTTTACTGGCCTTCATGGGATGAGGGGGTCTGGGGGGAAGGATCCCACGTAAGCCACGGCGGAGCACCTGCAAACCACCTCAGTGAGTCTCTCAGTCCAGAGCCTCCTAAGGCCTGGATAATCAGCTGCTTTCTTAGGCTGTTTCCAGAACACTCGGTTATGCTGGGGGTGACAACTTGAAGGCTTCCAAGAACTTTTCGTCTTTTGTTTGAGCCAACATTTCTGTTTTCTGTCGATCAATAGTTTAGCTACTCCAAAATAAGAAGGTGGAATGGGAGTTGTTTGGGGCAAGGACTGGAATTCAAGTGTCGAAACAGCATCAGTATTAGGAATTCCGCTCATAGCTGTCCCCAAGTCCAGAGAACTCAGTGGGAGCCTCCCCAACCCAGCACCAGGGAGGGACAAAGAGGTCCTGGGGAGGGGGGACAGGCTGGGACGACCCCCGACCTGGCCCCATACAGGGGGGAATCACCTCCGAAACTCTTGGACCCAGGAGCCGCTCACAGGAAGAAATTAGGGCCAACCCCAAACGCCCAATTCTGGAAAACTCCAGTTCCCACGGACCCTAAAGCCCCTGTGCTTCCCTCCAGCCCCTCAGGACATTAAACAGCAAACCCACAGTTTCCAGTTGGGATATTGGGGTGGGGTAGAGAGGTCAGGAGGTGTGCGCCCCCACTGTACCCAAGGTCCCAGCGCCCACCCACCGGCACAAGCTGCCCCAGTTAACGGGGAAGGCAGTGGGGGTGCGGGAAGCAGAGCGGGACGCGCTGAGGCGAAGTGGCGCGCTGAAGGGAAGGGGCGTAGGGAGCGGCGGAGGGGGCGCGCAGAGGGGAGGGGGCGCGCAGAGGGGAGGGGGCGCGCAGAGGGGAAGGGGCGCGCAGAGGGGAGGGGGCGTGAGGAGCGGAGGGGGCGCGCAGAGGGGAAGGGGGCGAGCTGGGGGGAAGGGGGCGCGCAGAGGGGAAGGGGCGCGCAGAGGGGAGGGGGCGCGCAGAGGGGAGGGGGGCGCGCAGAGGGGAAGGGGCGTGAGGAGCGGAGGGGCCGAGCTGGGGGGAAACGGTGAGAGAAGCGGTGGCCGCCGCGCTGAGGGGAGGAGGCGAGGAGAGGGAGACGGGGCCGGGGGAGAGGAGGGGGCACGGAGGGGCCGCACTCACCCGCGCGGGCTCCAGCAGGCGGCCGGGGCGCCCGCTGGGGGCGGCGGGGGGCGGCGGTCCCGCAGTGCTCATGGCCGCCCAGCGGCGGGGCCCGCGCTCCGGGCCGGGCGAGCTCAGCGCGGGGGCCCGCGCGAGCATCCAAGGGCCCCGCCGGCTCCAGGTCCGCGCCCCTCTCGGGCTCGGGTTCCGGCTAGGCTCGCAGTGGGAGGGGGCGCTCCGCCCTCCGCCCGCGAGCACCGCCCACGCTGACCCGCCCCCGGAGGAGGGGCGCGCTGCTGTCTAGTGGCGTGGGGGCGAGCGCTCTGGTCCGGGCATGGGCGCCAGGAGCTCCCACGGCGGGGACGAACACATGGGTTCGCTGGGGTTCGCTCACACGGGGAGGGGGGCTAGCGCACCGGCCAGGTGGGGCGCACGGGGCACTCCCAGGGCGGGGGACGGGGTGCTGATCGCAACCACCGCAGGGGAAGGAGCTTAGGGGCGGAGGGCTCGGGGAGCGCACCCACGTGAAGTGGGGGGCCCGAGCACAGAAGCCAGGCGGAGGCAGGGGGCTCTCCGGCTGGGCGAACGGGAGCGCTTGGATGCGTGGCTCTCTCAGGCACGAGTAGAGTGCCCCACCCCGGGCTGGGCGCCCCCTCCGCATCCCTTCCCTTGGCTCTCTGATTGGAGGGCTCCCCTCAGCCCTCCCCGCCTTTGCACGGACCCAGTCCCTCTGCCTTTCGCGTCCTTGGAGACCGACACGCGCCCCCGCCCAGTCGCGGGTCACACCGCAGCTGACGCGGTACCCTGGGGACTGCCTGGCAGAGGAAAGCACGCAGAAGCCTCAATTCCCCGCACTCCCCCGCGCACCCGCCCCAAAGCGTGGTGGCTCCGGCTCTGGCGCCCCAACCTGCGGGGACCCACCAATCCTAGGTCAGCCCCGCGCCCCCACCTGACCTCCACGCCCTGCGGCAGACCGAGTCAGGAGTCAGGCACCAGCCCCCCACCCCCAGGCTAGCGCGGAAATGGCCCTCTGGATGGTAATCCGTCGGTGTAGACTCAGACCATCCTAATTTAAATGTAAATGTAAATTAGTTTGTGATGAATTTCAGGAAAACACACACACACACACACACACACACACACGAGGCTACCAACCTAAAAAGAAGTAGGCATGTGCCCTCCTCCCTCTCTAAACCCCGTGTTCCCCAGCCTCACCGCACTGCTGGGCATGAGCTTGCACACGTCGGGCTCCACAGCAGGGAGCCCGTGTCCTTAGGGAACCAAGGCCAGAAGAGCCCCAAAGCTAAGGTCCCTGGAATGCCGGACAGATGATGGGGTGATACACATTGAACAAACAAACAAAAGACGCTACTTTTCAGACTCCAACCTGGTTTTTTGCAGCTTTACTGAGGTGTGACTGGCGTGGCATCCTGTAAGTTTAAGAAGTGCAGCGGGTGGATGTGATGCACTTCTGTGTCTCGGTATGATCACCACCCAAGCAGTAGCTAAGCGCTCCAGGTCACGAAATGCCCGTCTCTACTCTCACCAACTTTCAAGCACTGAATGCGGTATTAGTAACTGTAGCCACCGGGCTGTTCTTTAGCTCCCTGGAACGTACTCCCCTTGTAGCAGTTTGTACCCTCGGACCACCATCTCCCCATCTCCCCCACACTTTCAACCCCACCCTCCTTTCACTTTGTAGATTCCACTTGTAAGTGAGACTAGACAGTATTTCTTTTTCTCTGTCTGACTTGTTTCACTGAGTAGCGTGTCTTCAAGGTCCATCCATGTTGCGGCAAATGGCAGGATTGCCTTCTTTCTCATGGCTGAATATTTCATTATATATACTCATGTATATATGCACATATATGTATCTACATACTTATCATAGGTATGACATACGCACACACCCCCCACATCTTTATCCATTCAACCGTTGATGCTACTGTTGAGGTACCTTGACTATTGTGAGTGTTGGTGCCGTGAACACATGAGTGCAGGTATCTTCAATATCCTGTTTGCATTTCCTTTGGACATGTACCCAGGAGTGGGGTTGCTGCGGAGTATGACAGTTCCATTTTTAATTTTTTGAGGAACTGTCACACTGTTTTCCACAGTGGCTGCACCAATTTACAACCTGTTTTGACTGTGAGCAGGCCTGGGCTTCTAACCCAGATGCACAAAAAGAGTTAGGCTTTCCAGATTTCTCTCTCCTTTGTAACCCCATCTATCCTGTACAGAATCTACTGGACTAGAATGTAAGCTCTTGAAATGCAAAAATTCGGTCTTTTTTTCCCAGTCATGGTATGCCCCAAACAAAATACATTTCTTGGATAAATTTGTAAGGAATATTGTACTACTTGTTGTTTATAGCAAAACATAGAATCAGGAAAAGGCAGCATGAGAGAGCATTATTATGGAAGTTGCATTTTAAGAAAGTGTGTGAGTGCAGAGTTTTCCTGTCTGCCCCCCTTCATAGCTCTGTCGTCCTTCTCTGTCAGGGGCTCCATTATCCGCAGCTGCATTGACAATTTCCTCAACCCCCTGTGTCTAACCAAGCTCTTAAAAGGCGTCTCCTCCACTGGACGTCAGCTCAGCCGGCCCCAAACTCGCAGGCCCCTGTCAGCCCCACCTGACCTCACACAGCCAGTGCCAGCCCCCTCCTGGTCTTTGCCTTCTTCATGGGGCCATGTTCTGCTGGCACCACTGCCCACCCGGTGGCTGGAGGACCAGGTGCACAGCCACACACACAGGACACCTCGCTTCCACCTCTGCTGTGGTTTCACTTCTCTGTGGCCTCTGTCCCTCGAGTCCAGGTGGCTGCTGCTAGCATGGAACCCCAGTCCTTATTTCCCCAGATCCATGGCACTTCTTCTTGGTGCTGCACGGTTTATAAATGGGCAGAGCCCTTGATCAGAAACCACGGAATGTGAGGCTCACCTCAGGACGTCCCCCCGCTCCGGCGCCTCCAGCCAGCAGGTGCTGGTGCTGTTGGTTCATCTCTGCGTTCAAAATGTACGTTGTTTTATATCCAGCTTTTATAGTTGCTCATTTTCAGAGAGATGGTCAAATACAGGTATCTCCATCTTAGCTACAAGCAGCAAAATCTTGTGTGGTTTTAAAACTGTATTTGCTACAAAAGAAGTATATTTGTATACGACATCATTTCTTGGTGTTGTTTAAACTGTGAAAATTCACTGAACAGTAAAAAAAAATCTATTAATTGTTTTAAGAAAAGAACATCATTTATGATCATTTATGATATTCCTAGCTTTATAAAAACTGATATTTAGATGAATCATATGTGAAACTCACACACTGTTGTTGAAATTTGTTGGTATTTATATGGGAAGGAGTTGAAGTAAGTATTATTTGTGAAACTCTTTTGGAAAGATGATGTTGTCACATTATAAAGAATGGTGTGAGGTAATCCACACTAACACGCTACTCTGAGAACAGAAAAAGGGAAAGAAGGGGAGGACAGTTATCAGAGAAATCTCTCCCAGGGAGGGCTGAGGGCGTCTTGGCAGCAAGCTCAGAGGACTTAGCAACTGGCCAGTACTATAGCAGGAGTGAATGCCTAAAACTGTGTGTGAATATTTGTATCTTTTACCACTTTTAATTTGCAATATTTTTTTCGATCATTCACAAGTTTCAGCTACTATTGATAGGGTGCTGATGTTGTCCAGATGCTTTAGTAGATCCCAAGAATATGATTAATACAAGAGCAGCAGGTCCTCATGGAGCTCAGAGTCAAGTGGATCACTTACATAAAACTACTACCTTCCTTACTAGATGGATTGCAGACACTTTATTACCCATGTAATAAAAATGTCCACAAATTAGGTTCTTAACACACACGTGTTAAATATTTCTGAAAATGAATAAATGAACTCATAACTGATTATGCCACTGTATCCTTACCTGAGTAAGATATTTGGAGAAGATATTAAAAAATATCTGGTAGGCACTGGAATATTCAAATATGCACTTCAATTTTTAGAAAGGTCTCCAAATGGAAATAAACCATGAATACATTAAGGCTTGACTCATAACCCAGTACTCAAACCTTATTTTCAGTTATGTAAGTGTGCAGAAGCTGAGGAGAGAATTAGTTTCTTCACGCAGAGATACTTAGATTTTCACAGGCTTAAGTAAGATGAGTATAAGTATTTGAGCAATGTTATACGGCTCTCCTCAACTTTTGCTGTGATAAAAGAATTATAAGGTTATCTTCTCACTTAATACTTAATTTTCTTAATAAGTACATTAGAAATGTATAAAGATATGAATTTTGAGGAGTCTGAATTTCTGATTTTTTTACTTGTTCTTACAGAAAATTTCTTGTAATTGACAGATTATTCTTTATAAGAAAACACTTTCATAAAACACCCAGCTGTAACCAAGGCATATGTGCTCCTTTGTTTCATAATTTAATTAGGTGACCATTCATTTATTCAAAAATACGGGCTGAACTTGTGCTGTATACCAGGCACTGTGCTCCCTGGGACAAAGGATGGGAAGGCCAAGCCCCTGTTCTTCAGTCACATGCACCAACAGGGGAATCCAGAGGCTTGGCACTCATCAGGAAACCAACATGGAGGCTTAGTAGCAAGACCCGAGTCTCTCCCAGCCCCCCAGCCCCGCCCCCCGCCCCCGCCCCCCCGAACCCCACACTCCTGCCCCCCTGAGCCCCTCCACCGGAGTCCTTGGACCCCTGAGCCCCTGCCAACCCACCTCCCGAGCTCCCTGCTTCCTGGGCCCCTAGCAAGGGCCCCAGGGTTTCAGAGTCACTGGGTGGTCACCTGGGCCACTGCCCCAGCAACCACATGAGGTGGGACCTGCATCCCCACGGCGCCCCCTTAACTTCCAGACCCTCCTCTTTCCTGCCCTTGGGCTCCCTGCCTTCCTAAGGTCCTAGGGGTCTCACTGCATGTCCAGTCAGGTAATGGGCCCTGTCTTCCGGTCACCCACTGACCCCTCCCTCAAAAAGATCGCCAGTTCTCCCCCATCCTGCTTGAACGGTGAGATCCACCCGGACTGGTCCCTTACAAACATTCTTATTCACACCTGCCCAGTGCAGCCGCAGACTGCTTAGGCCCAGCTGCCCACCTATTGCACACCTGTGCCCGAACACCTGCGCCAGAGGAAATCACAGAGAGCCATAGCTGCTCCCAGCTTCCACCCTGTACTTCCATCTCAGGCCCTCAGACACTCCCCTGCTCAGCCACCTGTGCCCGTGTTTGATGGCCAGGGTCCTAAAGCAGCCTCCCCCTGCCCTCTCCCCCCTCCCCTGCCCTCCCCGCCCCTCCCTGCCCTCCCTGCCCTCCCCACCCTCTCCCCCCTCCCCTGCCCTCCCCGCCCTCCCCTCCCCCCCCTGCCCACACCTCCCCACCTTCCCCTTCTTTTTTCCTCCCCTCTCTCCCCCTACCTGTCCTACGCCCTCTCCTCCCCTCTTCCCTGCTCTCCCCTCCCCTTCCCTGCCCTCCCCCCTCTCTTCCCTGCTCTCCCCTCCCCTCCCCTGCCCTCCCCTCCCCTCTCTCCCCCCACCATTCTCTCTGCCCTCATCTTGCTTCCAGACTCAAAGAGGAACAGAAATGAGCACATTGGCTGTAGGCAGACCTCACTCCTCTTTGTCCTACAAAATCAGGTCTACCCCCTTCCTGCTCCTCTGTAGACACTCTCTGCTTCCGCTTTCTCCAGTGGACACCGGGATGGCCACTCACATGGGAGATAAGCCCTCAGGGTGCTATGGACCCTGTCACTTTGCCTTTTCCTGCAAGTACTTATTCTCTCTGCTGCTTTGTGCACCCTA